TAAAACCCTTTATCAGATAGTTTATTATCAATACATAATTGTTTCACCTGTTACATCTTGTCTCCCAATAAAACCAAGGACTGGGACTTCCTTGTACTTCTTTCCTAAACCCGATTAACACAAATTGTATTAAAACTGTATTAAATATGAAAGGTATACATCTCTATGACTCTGCTTTTGATTTAGTCAAATTTTAGGATTGATTCTAAATAACTAAATAATTTTAGGATGGATTCTAAATAACTTAAAATTAAATTTTGACATGTATCAGACACTATTTTCATGTTCTACTGTATCATCATTCTCTTGTTTCCAATGTATTTAAACACTTAACAAGTTTATTGGCTCCTTTAAGTTTATCTTCTTCCCATTAACAACTTCACTATAGTCCACAGTACTGAAGCAAGAAAGTGTTGTGAATCAATGATGACCTATCGATATGGGGTCATCTGACATCCCAATTCAACTCATTCTAACTTATTTTGAGCCCATCATTCAGAATTTGGCTCATTTTAGAACTGCAATGTTAAAAAAGAATCTTAAATAGTCTGCTTTGAATTTATTCAATGTATTTTGTAGCAAAATACCAACTATGAACATTCTCATTCACTCAAGTCTTTTAAAAATTAAAACCCAGAATGATCCATATATTTCATATAATCTCTGGAAATGGTTATTTTCTGGACTAATATATTGCATAACTTAAACAATGACATTCTAATGAACACAGAAAAACATCATTGTGTTTTGGAAATCCCAATTTGTATAATCTGGTAAAAAGTGCAAACTGAACAAGATTTTGGTGAAAAAAAAATGAAAAAACCATATCCATAACAAAGAAACTAAGTTTAAGAGAATTCTTAAATTGCTCTTTGATTCTATTAGAAAAGTGCACTCAATTTAAATAAAAATAAAGAAAACAAAACAAGTGACCCCAATTACACATTTTTCAATCTTAAATACAAAGCTTTTCCATATTATTTTCAGTGCCACAAAGTTCTCTTATAGTTTAATGTTATTTGGTAAAGGTAATTCAGTTAGAAAAAAAATACTTAAAAATCCCAATAGCATATTATTGAAATATGATTAATTACGGAAAACATTTTTCCCAATAGCATAAAGTTTTAAAAATAAATACTTTTTTCTCCAATACTTAAGTTTTTGAGCACAGTAATATTACACAGAAAATCATGTTCCAAAGTTCCTAATGAAACATCATGTATTTTTGGACAAATGTTGGAGGGCTATTTTATACACAAACCTCCACCACATGTGATCTGATAGTAACAAGAGTTAAAGAATCTTATACACAATCTGAGAAGAACCCATATTATAATTAATTTGTAGGAAGTCACATTTAAGAAGACAGTTTCTGAGAATTTTATATTTGTGCAGATAGGGGGAAAAAAGATAACAAAACAGTTATTTCTTTCCCCAGAAAAAAGGAGGCCAACAAAAAATACAACAAAAGTAGCTACCTGGTAAAATTCCATGCAAAGACAGAGAATAACCATCTGCTTGGCTGACTTAGAAATTAAATTTACTTAAATGTCTAAGGTATAGGAAACATTTTTCAGGTGTTTAATACAGGACAAATGTTTAATTTGATTCTCCATCAAAGACATGCAGTACTTTCTAAGCAGAAGGAAAAAAATTATTAACTGAAAATTGAAATATTTCAAAGACATGATTAAGAATGTATTGCACACACACAAAAATTGTTTAACAGTTAGACCTTTACTAATAACGAGCTGTGCAACAGACATGATTTCATTCTTTCAACTGTGAAGTATTTCTGGGCATCCAAATTTTCATTGAACTTGAAGTACGTATTGATGATGTAAATATAATCCTAAAATAATTTATCTTTTCCTTAAAAAATCTGTCATACTCACTTTACACCACACACACACACACACACACACACACAGGAAATAATCCCAATGTCTAACAATAGGTGTATATCATAAAAGAAGAATGCTATACAGTTTAAAAAAAACCTAAATCTACATTGTTAACATCAACAAATCTTCCAATTAACTGCTGAGTGTAAAATCAGAGTACATGTAAGAGCATGAGATCAACTGTGTAAAGTTTAAAAACACACAAACACTACATATTATTTATGGATACATACATATGCAGATAAGGTATATAAGCATATACAGAAATAATACAGCAACTTCAAAATAGTGGTTACCTATAAAGGATGGAGAATGGATAGAATAAGATGGGCACAAAGGGGGCTTTAACTCTATCCACAGTGTTCAACATTACAAAAATTAGAAACAAACATGGTATAATGTTAACATTGTTAAATTTGGTGGTGTTACACAGACACACATTTTCTATACTTATCAATTTTAAAATCTTCCATGATAAAAAACATTCACAGAAGATAGGTCGAATCACCGCTGCCATTTCCAGATTAAGTAACTGGGCACACTAAAACACAACACAGGTTTTCTTTTCCCAAATAAGACAATAAATATTAACAGAAAATATTACATGATTGGCAATGTACACTTTTTATAAAGTATCCACTGATTATATTAAAAATACATAATTAAAGAACAGGATTTAAGTGCTTCTATTTCAAAAACTCTACCTTTGCTTGAGTCAAAGGATTGAATTTCACACCACAAATAGGCTTTCCTTGCTTTATAGAGTACCCCTTTTAATTTTCTTTTATGTCATTTCCTTCAATGTGACTGAGAATAAAAGGCTTAGTATACAGGGTAAAAAAGATACCTGACTCTCTGTAAATAAGACCAATGAATACACTGTATTCTAACATAAACCAACAGTGGCTCAATTCAAAGACAATAAATTACTGCCAGTACAAAAACTTTCACTTTCTCAGTTTGAAACTTTTGACCTACAGGGAAATACATAGAATGTGTAACTCTGTTTACCAAACATGTTTTTTCTTGTCAGGAAAGCTTTCCCATCTTTGTCAGATTAATACTTCCTTGATCACAGATGGTCTTTCAAATTAAAGATAAACAACTACTTGCCTGTTGTTTCTGATATGCAGTGTTTGGATTTATCTTTGATTCCAAGAGTAGTGATCCTGAAAGATAAAAAATAATATTTGTAAGTTTCAATTTGTAAAATTCTGAATAAAATATCTGAATATGAATTTAAAGAAAAAAAAAAAAACTTGTTCTCTTCCCCTAGACATGTGAAGTAATCAAATGTATTCTGATTCATGTTCTTCTCTTCAGATCTGTGCTTTATATAGAACACACCATCTTATCCCCCGTATATAACCCTTAGAGGAAAAAAAAAAACACCTAAGATCAACATTCAGACCCAAAATATAAGAAGACTAGATGTCCATTAAAGTTTTATTGAAATGAAAACTTTGAGGTCTAAATGACCACTTGAAGCCAAGCTCTTTTTAACAAAGTTATTTTATTGCATTTTCAGTTTAACAAAACAAATTACAAAGGACCACAACAGGAATCTAAGTACTTAGTACACAAATAACAGAACGGCATTTTTGCTTTACTCCTTAACAAAATGAAGGACACTTCATATAGAAATAAATGTCCATACCTATTCAAAACAAAAGGTAAAGAGTACAAAGTACAAGAATAAATCTAAGATTGTTATTTTTCTGTTATCTGCACATAACTGCTCAAATCGAGGCGTTCAGATTACAGCGAGAAAGGTTTTCATTACGCTCTACATTTTATAATTAAAATACTTCACATATGACTCGTACAATAAACCAACGGATTTAAGTTTACAATCTGTACTGGTGTCCTAACTTGTTTAGGTTGTAAAGCACCCACTTTTTCATGGCAACCTCTACAAAGGCAGCCTGGGGGGATCCTAGACTACAGATATGCTTGTGCGTGCATGTATCGTGGCAACAGTCTGCAATAACTGCAGGAAAAGGTGCTTTTTGGTTTTCCCCAGCACCTGTCGACTGGGGCAAGCGGGTTTTTAAAAAATGGACTTTAAAAAAAAGTCCACTCAGAAAGTAAAGTTTCACTAAGCTTTTTGAAATAGACATATAATGCATAAGAAAACAAAAAAATAAAGGGAGGAGAAAGGTCAGCTCCCTAGGACGAGAAGAAAACTATTCTGTCTCTCATTACTTCCTCCGTTTTCACTCAAAGGCGAAGACTGGAGAGGAAGGGGTCAAATCCTTAATAGGGACAGGAGGCGGGGGAACAGAATCAACGTTTGACTGAGGGTAAATCCGGACAAAGTAGTTTGTTTTTACCGTACAGAAGTGCAGGCACAAAACCAATGTGCCGTCCCAAGATGTGGTAGTAACCGTACCCAGCCCAGGGCCTAAACACCAGGGCTGGGCCCAAACCGGAGGCACTGATTGCCCCCTATCTTATGTTCCAATAACCTTACCGTCGGATTCAGCCCGAACCAGCAGCGACATCCCCTTGAGTTCCTCCACATAAGTGGAGGAGACATGCCCGGTGCCTCGGTCGTCCCACTGACGGTCTTCGTTGAGGGTGTAGACCTTCACTCGCCGCCGCGTATCCGACATGGTGGCTGCTGTCCCCACCGCCCCGGCCACCGCCTCCTCGCTCACCTCGTCCGCGCCCCTCACTCCTGAGAGACCGTTGCGGCGGTGGCGGCAGCGGCGGCGGCGGCTCCGGAGAGGCCCAAGTTCACCATGGCTCCCAAGGTTCAGTCGCGGGAAGGGGCAACAAGAGTCACCAAGACCTCTCCGCCCGGAGTCCCGGTAACCTCTCACTTCACCTCCGCACACGCCCACCCTCCACTCCCTTTGCCCCCCAGAGCTCGCTCTCCCGCCGCCGCCGCCGCCGCCGCCGCGGAACTACTACAGATCCGCCATCTTGTAACCCGATTCTCTCTGCCTTTCTCTTCCTCCTCCAGCAGGCTCGCACGGGCTGTCCTAGCAGGGGCTACGGCGGCCGACGAGCCCAATGCGCGATGCCTCGGCTTTCCGCACGCGGTTCCCGAGCTTGCGGTGCTCGGTGTTCTCGCGAGGCGGGCGGGGTACAGGATCTAAGTGGGAGGGTCTAAGTGCGACTTCCTCTTTTCTGGGTCCCGCCTGCTGGCGCGGGATCTCGGCCGGGTGGTCGGTTCTCGCGAGTTCTTTGTCGCCTTTGGTGCTGGGAGATTCCTTTCAGAGCCAGAAGCGACAGCGGAGGCTTGGATCTTCCTTCGAGCGGTTGCTGGCTGCACCGGGTGTGTGACGAGCCGTGGGACCCAGCTCTGAGGAAAAAGTAAAGCATACCTGGGAGGTACGCATCATTGGACGGACTAACCCTGGGCGAAAAGGAAGGAAATGTGCCCGCACTCCTTAATGGAAGCTGACCCTGTCAGCCTAGGGGAGAAAAATAACTTAAATTTCTTTCTTTGAATATGTAGGAACTTTGAGCCCTGGAAGTTACGGGGACCGGAAACCCACTAAAACTCGTAGAATCTGTTGGGAGTTAAACATCTCAGGAAGTGTTCTATGGACCACCAGGCGATTATACCGTGGAACATTAGTGTGTTGACAAATTCCTATTGCCCGCCAAAGCCTATCACCATTAGGCATTTGGTAGCTGGCCATTGAAAAGCATACTTTCCACTTTGCGAAAATGCAGTGCTCTTCCCGTGTTTGTGAACTCGGAAAATAAGTTTTCAGAGAAGTTTAGGGAAGTGGAGGGGACCTACTTTCCTAACACATCTAAGAGCATTCTTCTGATACTTTTGAGTTTCTCTTATGAGCATTTTTTGCGTTATCTATCGGGAGGTGGTCTGCGCTGAATAAGCTGAGGAGGAATTCTCTGGGCATTCACGTTGTCAAACATCACATTAACTGTCAAATATTCCCCTGTGGATACCAGTCATGTGCTGGGCAGTCGTTTATTTCAGTCCTCGTTCGTTCTTCACAGAATACTTTACGTTTTTAAAGAAATTCCTAGCTTGCTCTGTCGTCAGTTCTTTACAACCCATTAGTCTGCAAGGTGAAAACAGACACGACGCACACGTTGATCCTGCAGCGCATCTTGGGGGTTGTAGTCATTACTTATCAGGGGTTTCGTCAAAACGTGGTTTTGTTTTGACCAGATCGTTTGTGTGGACACCCTTCGGTGATGCACTAAAAACGTGAGACGTCTTACATAGAAAGACGCCTGATAAAAAAAATTCTAATTTCAAAATCTGGATACATCGCATTTTTGAAAGATCTATAAAGGACTTGAGAAAATGTGTTTGAATCAAGGAGCTATATGTAATAATAGAGCCATTAATTGCCGTGATTGATGTGCACAAATGCATTTTGAGCCCAGAGAAAATAACCTGTCTTGAGTCAGAGAAGCTTCACAGATAAAGTTTTGAACTAGGTGTTAGAGTATCCCTAAGTAGGAGTTTGAAGTTTGGCTTGGGAAGGTGTTCAAGGCGGAGGGGACAGGGTGAACAAAGTCATAATGTTGCTGGCCTCAAAGAACTTACAGGTTAAGTTATATGTAAGTTAAAGGAATGAAAACTATACAGAGGTCACCTTAACACTATATGTGTTGAGGTTAATGTCTCACAAATAGAACTAACTCTGGACAAAATTGTGAAACAAGAGTTATTTCCCGGGGCACCTGGGTGGCTCAGGGGGTTAAGCCTCTGCCTTCAGCTCAGGTCATGATCTCAGGGTCCTGGGATCGAGTCCCACATCGGTCTCTCTGCTCTAAAGGGAGCCTGCTTCCTCCTCCTCTCTCTCTCTGCTTGCCTCTCTGCCCACTTGTGATCTCTCTCTGTCAAATAAATAAAATCTTTAAAAAAAAACAAACCGAGAGTTATTTCCTGCAGGGGCGCCTGAGTGGTTCAGTGGGTTAAACGTCTGCCTTTGGCTCAGGTCATGATCTCAGGGTCCTGGGATCCAGTCCCGCACTGGGCTCCCTGCTTAGTGGGGAGCCTGCTTCCCCCCCTCCTCCCCCGTCTACTTGTGATCTGTCAAATAAATAAATAAAAATCTTAAAAAAAAAAGTTATTTCCTGCATTTACTCAATCATTCAAATATTTGTTGAGCATAAACTATATGTTAGGCACTGTTTTATACAGTGAATAAATAGAAAAGGTCCCTATTCTCATGGAGCTTACATTCTAGGATGGAAAGACAATAAACAAATACATGCCGGATACTGATAAATATTAATGCCAAAATATAAGAGTAGCAAAAGTTTAGTGAGCTTGGGAAAGGTAATGGTGTTATTGAGGAAGGCCTCTAAGGGAGGCAGGCAGCCTTGCATTTTCCCAAGTGAAGAAAGCATGAGAAAACAGAAAAGCAAATACAAAGTCATGAGGTTGTAGTGAGAAGGATAGTAAGGAAACCAGTATTTTTAAACATGTATATAATGGAATACTATACATATTGTTCATACTGTTGTCCACAGGAACCCTAGTTTATTTAAAACCTGTCCTATTTATGTATATATGTGTCATTTCCAGTGGTTTCCAACTTAAAATAATAAATGATTTACCAGAATTATTTCAGGTGTTCTAATATACTTGATATACTTGATGTTAAGTTCCTAAAATAGGGTTTTTCAGCATTTGCATCACTAACATTTTGGGCTGGATAATTACTTGTTGTGAGATTGTTCCATGCTAAACAGGATGTTTAGCAGCATCCCTTATTTTTACCCATCAGATGCCAGTAGTATTGCACCCTTTCTTCCAGCTGTGATGGCCCAGATTATCTACCATCATTGCCAATATCCCTGGAAGGCATGTTATATTTTTTAATTCTTGAGGGTTTAAAAAAATATCCTTTTAATCTGTATAGGGTAAACTGGGTTGTCATTTCACTTACTCATGCCCTTGAAATGTCAAACTTTCACCCTTCCCATTCTGTTAGATGTTTTTATGAAAATACTTTTATGAAAGTTTTTTTGCTATATTCACTCATTTTTTTCTTAAGGTGATTAAGTCACATTAAATTTTTTTCCTTAAGCAATTTAAGTAAACCATCAAAACTGATAACCTATATCCTCTTAGCCACATTCCTATTTCTTTTCCTCTTTACAGCCAAACTGTTTAAGGGTTAAAGTTGTTTATACTCCCTTCATTTCTTCACCTCCCACTTATTCTTCAATTGAACCCATTCTGGTTTCCATCACACTGCCCACCCTAACACCTTGCTCTCATCGTGAAGCTCTTTATAAACTAACTTAAGATATCTATGTTAATAATGCCATTGAACATTTTTCAACCTGTTTTACTTGATCTAAGTTAATATTGACACTTTTTTTGTCGGAACTTTGTTCCTTCAGTCATATCATGGAGATTCTTGCTTTATCCTTCAGATGTTGCCACAGTTATCACTTTCATCAAGGACCCTTTTGACTTCCCCGTCTAGACTATATCTTTTGGAATATTACAAGTACCAAAAATCCCAATTCAAAGTGGTTTAAATGATAAGAGAATTTATTGGCTCATAAGAAGGAAAGAGGAACCTCAGGTAGATTTGATTGGCCCAACAGTATCAGCGAGAACTTGATTTCCTTCTGCCTCTCAATTCTATATTCTGCTCTGTCAGATTCATACTCAGGCTAACTCCTTTTGAATCTTAAGATAGTGGTGAAGAGCCCCCAAGTTTCCACAGTTCTTCACAGCAAAAGGAGTTTCTTTAGGTATTCCCAGTTGCATTGTGATTAGACTAATACAGGTCACATGCCTACCCTTGAACCCAGAGATCTGAGGTCCAGGGAATTTCAAGCACTGATTGGCTGAGGCAAATCAACCTGTCTTTGGAGCCTGGAGTTTTAATCCCACTCAAATCCTATGGATATTACACCATGCGATATGGTAAATCAGAGATAGGAAGACAACCAGAATATCAATTTTGTCTTCAGGTTACACATAGCACCATGCATCCTTCAGTAGTAAAATTTGTCATACTTGTAGCTTTACATTTATTTGTATGATTTCTGATTAATAACTGTCTCCACATCTAGATGACAAATTTCTGTGAGTTAAGGGAACTATGTTTCTTCTCACCATTTTATCTCTAGTACCTAGCAGAGGACGTGGAACATAGCAAGTACTCAATAACTGTTGAAAGTTGGAAGTTTATTACTCAATTTGACATTCTCCCTAGCAGGTAATTTAGTAACTACCCTGTCAAATCAACTGAAATGAAATTACATCTTTGAAAGCTCCACATTGGTATCTCTAGCTTCTAACTAGTCAATTCTTGACACACTACTGAATGATAGTCCTGAAACAAATTTGGTCATATTATATTGTTTTTGCATCTTTCAACAGTTTTTGATTTCTTGTAGGATAAAGTTCTTCAGAATGGCATACAAAGCTCTTCATGGTTTCGCCCCTGCCAGACCCTGGCTGGCTTTCTGCTCTCAAAAGCCACGCTATGGACTGTTGGGGTGGTTTTCCCTGGGGGTGATTTTCTTTTTCAATCACAGCCCCTCCTATTCACCTTACCAAATGTTTTTGGAAGTCTTTTCCCTGGGTGAGTGTAGTTTCTCCAGGTATTCCCTCATACCCTGATGGAGTAAAGACAGAGGAAGGAGGCAAGAGGTCCTTCATCTGTTTGGTATTTAAGCTTTCACTTAATCACTCCTTTTAACTCTGCTGTCACAATCTCCTACTACTGTGACTAATATCTGCAAATCAAAAGTCTCTCCTATTTCATAAAATAAATCTCAGTCTCCTGAGTTGGTGATGGGGGTGGCAGTGTTCAGAGGGCTTGTATGGGTATGTGTGTGGAGGGAGATGGTATTCCTTTGGTTATGTAGGATTGGGAAGGGGTCCAGTTGTGTAGCCCCTCTCTACATAGACTTTGACCCTGTCCTCAGATTCTGAACCCTGGTCCTTTCTGATTTGTTGTAGAGATAATTTGTTCTCTGCTCACCTCTGTGGCCATTTAGGTTGTAACTTCCTCTGTTCTAAGGTCTGCTATACTGCTCTACCATCTGCTTGTCATGCAAATGACATTTGTTAAAATCTTTTGTCTGCTCTTGTCTCTTTTATTATGTTTGCCCTTTGGACTCTATACTTAAAAAAAATTATATTTAACTGTGTGATTAATTTTGCATTTTTGACAAAGGTATGATTGTTTTTTTGTTCATGTTTTTATGTATTTTTTAATGTTCTGTATTTCCCTTGGATTTTTTTTTTTTTTGTTATATGTGAAGTAGGATTCCAAAAGTGTTTCCTCCAAATGAAGAACCACTTGTCAATATCATTTATAGATTAAATAATTTGAAATGCTATTTTAATCACATTCTTTATTAAATCTACA